CAAGGGGTTCATGGATCCCCTAATTTATTCACATACTTACCCCTACCTCCCAGGATTTATGAAACATTAATAAATGCCTGTTCTAAACCCTTAAAATATTTACAATAATTCCTACACATTTAAAAGCTGTATGTAGAACAATTAACAACTAGAGCAAAGTCTTCACCAAATAATTTTTGGTGCCAAAATGATGCCATGGAGAGGCCTTGGGAACCGACGTGAGCCCCGGAATATGACGGAACGGTTAAGCATCTAATGAAAATTATAGACACATACTGTACTTTAGGAAGGCTAAGTGAGAAGGAAGTCACTCTTTTTCAACACTTAATGATTTAATACCATTTCTTTTACAGATTTCTAATACCTAAAAATTTCCACCAAATTTAGAGAATCTTCAAAGAAAACAATGAATCCATCCAGATTCAACAGATGGAACGAGGCCCAGTCACATTTACTGAGGCCCAGTGGTGTTGGATCTTGGCTATTTCTGACTGATGCTCGGCTCCAATCTGTCAAACTTTCTTAACACTACACATCTGTTACTGTAGCCTTTGCTTTTCTGACACCCACATTACACTCCTGACTCAAACTAAGCTGTGGGTAACAAAACCCTTAGTCTTTTTCATTGGAATGGCTATTAACCTAGTCTTCTGTAACTTAATTAGTTGCCTTAAACAAGTAACATAAGTAGGATTTTATGTTTAATCCTATTAAACTTCATCCTAGCTTGGCCCATCCTTCCAACCAGAACGAATGCTTGGAATCTGGATCCTGTCATGCTGCCTATTCCCCAGTCAATTCACCCATGAATGTGTTCAGAAGTTTCTGTCCACTTTGAGTACAGATATTTCAAGAAAAGGAGAGATTCACATCATGTACTGCCAATCAGCTCACACTTTTGTGTCTTGTCTTCCCCCAAACTGTGAAATGCCTAACTGAGAAAAGAAACCACAAATCCACCACACCCAAATTCCTCATTTTATAAATGAGCAAACTGATGGCCAGGACAGTTAGTCTATTGATTGCATGTTTATTAAGGGCCACGCTGTTGACTTGCTCAGGGGACATCCTTGGAGGCAGTACCAGAGACAAGGCCAAAACTCAGGACTCTCAAGTTCTTTGCCCCTCTCCCAGTTTCCCAAGAGGACAAAATACAGTGTAATACCAATATCCATGCGTGGCATCCAATCTTTTCCTTACGATTAGTTTCTTAAAAAGTTATAATGCAGGTAGTTACTGTGATAGTGACACTATTACCATTTGTTACTCTATTTTTACTTCCTTTTCCTTATTTTGCATCCAAACCTTCCTGTAAGTTCTGCCAGCCATTTGCCTACTGTGTGGGAAAGCAGTATCCAAATTAGATACCAAGTAACCAACTCAAATTAAGATCAGTTAAATCTTCTTCATGTCTGGCTTTCTCAGTAGAACAAAACCACCACCATGTTACTTTTTAAATAAATCACTTTGGAGTAATTTTTTAAGCTGATGTAATTCCTCTTCTCACAAATCTTTTTTACTAAATCTATTAGTTTTTACTTTGAACATCACCTCTCAAATCTTTGCATTTTAGAGCTGAACTTCAGTCTCTATGTTCTGTTTTTTTTGTTGTTGTTGTTGTAATACTTTCCCCTTTAAAAAGTTTCTTTCCACCTGATTATAAAATATTAAGTGCTTATCATAGACAACACAGATGAATATTGAAAATTTAAACTGCTCTTGATTTTTCATCAGTCAGAGGCAACCACCACAACTGCTGTATGTGTTTCGGAATGTTTCCTTCAACGGCAATCTTAACAACCATATGCTTCTGTGGTTCTGAGTTGTGCCTTCTTCTCCTAAAATTCATGACGTGTGATTGCTTTGTGGGAAGAGAAGGGCATTATGGTCTAACATCTCCTTCATTCCTCAGCCACATTGCCTAAATTTCCTTGCCATTTGTTATTTAAAAAACTCTTCCGCCATCTTTGGTCTTGGAAGTCTTGTAGTTTAGGCCTGGTATTCTCACTCTTCTCAAAGCTTTGTAATGACTTCACTTTTCCATTTTCCTCTACTTGGGGAGCTTGATTCCTCTCAGGTAAAGCTACTCAATGCCCCCATTCATCCGATCCATCAAGGCACACCTATCACTCTGCATCTTCTTTGATAACTGCTAAGCTGGGAACATCGACTTCTTAAACACTATCTCTTCATTCATTTAAACCCAAATACCACCCTTTCCACTGAGGATCCTTTAACTAGAAGATAGACAGGGCATGGATTCCATATGGCTCCACATTGTCTACACTTTCTTATTACTGTTCTGAGTTTTCTTCATGTTCTTACATCTGCCTATGTTCGTATTGCCTATTTCATAGTATAAGCAACCAGGGGCCAGGAATTATTGTCTGATTTAATTTAGAAAACACTTAGCAAAATCTCGGGCTGTCATTTGGGGCCTAAGACAAGTTTCTAGTGACAATGGCTTGGCTTTGCCAATTCATACAGAAAAAAACCACAACTAAAAAGAGAAATGAGAGGCCCTGGGATACGTTGTCAGGTTTCTGCAAGGAAAACTAACTCATTTCTTGGAAAACTACACTAGACACCAAAACCAAGCTTTTTGTTTTTCAAACAAAGATATATAATTTGCTGGGGATACAACAGAATTTAGGAGGAAGCAGTGGATAATTTTGTACTGGAATGTTAAAATTAAAAAAAAAGAGAGAAAAACAGCAATTAGCTCCTCATACGCTGTGTGGCTTCAATTCGATCAGAAGGCCATGGGAAGATGTGATCTGAAATGAGAAACATCCTTGTGACACAAGAAGGGTATGACCACATGAAGAAGCAGTTAGGTTTTCTCAAGAAGGGATGTTCTTTCCTGAAATCATGATAATCATTCATGTATCAGGGAGAACAAGTGCCTAGTAAGAGGTGTGATGTGCTTGAAAACAGCCCGAGACGACTGAGAAGAAAAACGGCTTAATCAAAACACATACCAACGAACAAACAAACAAACGAACAAATCCAAGGAAAAGGCAGAGCGGCTTTGTGAAACACTAAAGGAAAAATGGACAGGATATGTTGTAAATTTCTCCTACTAGGGATTAGACAATGCACAATAAAAATCAAATAATTTATGTGTACCAGAGCAAATGTGAGATTATGTAAGATGTCTTAGGTTTCTGATTATCTGACAAAAAGGAAGAAAAGGAAAAGTCAAGGCAGAAAGATGGCACGCGGAGCAGCTACAGTCTCTGTTTCACAGAGGCAGGACGGCCTTGCCAGCAAGTTAAACATTTAAAAACTCCAATTTCCACTGATCCAGGAATGAAGAATCCCTGATAAAACCTTCCCCTCCATCTCCGTTCTGCTACTTGATGAGCGCCCTGAGTAATCAAGCTCTGAACCTCCCTCACCTGTCAAAAATACCAAGCTGCCTTCTTCCACTGACGGGGGACGGGAGGTTAGGAATAAATGAGGTAATAACTGTGAACGTCCCGCGTGAGGTGTCCACTGCAGCATACATGCAAGGGACGGTGGGGATGAGGAGGTCCAAGTTCCCTGCCTCTTCAGGGGCCAGCGACTGCTCAGCCATCTCCTGGCCGCAAATCACTCTTCTGACTCACGAGGTGCCTCAAGCCTCTCTCACACCCCAGGCATCAAAGCCCAATTTCCAAAGAAAGCTAACTTTGCAGAGGATTGGACAGAAAGGCATAGACTTATTAAATTTCCCTGGACTCCTTCCTCACTGCTTCCTTCAGGTCTAAGGCACAAAGGCAGGTGCCAATTTGTAAGGCTGCCCCAGGCAGTACCTGACCTGCCGCTCACACGATGAAAAGGGGAGCAGGATGTGAAACAGGCTTTTAAAGTTCCAACAGTGAGAATGTTTCTCTCCCAGATTCCTTGATAAATCCTTCACTTTGTGGTGAACACCCATTCTCCAGTCCTACATCAAAACATAAACCTGTTTAACTTGAATTCTACTTGCCCACATACAATTTTTCCTAGGTGATCAGCCATTCTGAATAGGCAATTTCATAATAAAGGGAAACATTCTGTGCTGCCCAGGAGCCTGTGTCAGCAACACAAAAATAATTACTTTGGCCATTAAAATATTAATAAATTACAAAGTGCGTGCCACCTAAATAAATCTTTAAATGTTCTTGTCCTGCTTTTAAGTCTTTCTCACTGGTTCTCCAGGCAGCCTTGTCTCAGATGTTCTCTGGCTAGCCCTGAATTTCATTGGTACACAGTAAAATCACTTGGGGGAAATTAATAAATGCAAAGTGCAATCATCTAATCTCTTACAATTCATTAAAGCACTCTTTCTCCAAAGAGGGGAAATTGCTGGGGTTTTTTTCCTTTCTTTTTTCTTTTTAATAAAAGGCCTAATAACAGACAGGAACAATAAAAGGCATCTCAGGGGAGACCTATATATAAATAAACTAGAATCAAAACTCAGATCTAGTTTAATTATC